AAAAAAAAAAAAAAAAAAAGTCAATTTTTGGGCCAGGGATTTAGCTCAGTAGTGCCTCCACCTGCCTCACAAGTGCAAGGTCCTGAGTTCAATGCCTGGTACCAAAAAAAAGTCAATTTTTCCCAAATTAGCCAATAAATTAAAGGCAAAATCTCAAAAGAATTTTTATGAAATATAACAAGTTGATTGCAAAATTTTTCAGGAAGAGGAAATGTGTGAGAATAACCAAGAAATTATTGAAAAAAGACTGGTAAGAGAGAATTTGGCCTAGCAGATATCAATATAAAGTTATAAACCACTGTAAAGTGATTTTAATAATAAAAACAATGTGGTAAAGAACAAAGAATACAATTTCTTTATAATATAGCAATGAGTACAAAAAGAGACTCATAAATAAATACATGAGAAATTAGTACATGATAACGTTGACATTTTTAAATCAGTGAGAAAAGTCTGATATTTATAATAAATGAGATTGTGGCAAATACATAAGCTTACCTCACTCATAAGTAAATAAATTCTAGATAAAATAAGGGTTAATTTTTAAAAACAAAACTTTAAAATATCAGGAGAAAAGCACTTGCTTCAGCAGCACATATACTAAAATATCAGAGAAAAGACAGGAAGGAAAATCTTGGGAACATGAAGAAAGAGACCAAAAAGAAAAATGGCTACTTCAGGTAATTAAACTTCTACATAACAAAAGATAACATAAACAAACAAAAAAGATGAGTGACATAAAATGTTTGCACAAAGATAAAAAATAATACTATAAAGATGTGAACTAGAAATATTTTCAAAATTAGAAAAATAGAGTAAAATATTGTGATAATTTTTTAAATAAATAGCAAAAACTACAAATGAAATTATGCTTACTATTGCTAGTGATCATGGAAAAATTTTAAATATACCCCTGTTCAGTCATTATAATGCAAAATTTATAAGACTGATAATATCTAGCACAGTCACAATGTAAAGTGGATACTATTGTACTGTTCATGGAAATTTAAATTGAGACATTTCTTAAGGCAATTTTGTGGCAACTTCCAAAAATTTAAATATCTTTAATCCAATAATTTCCTATTAAGATATTTATTCTAAGGAAGTATTTGGACACCAAAGAGTTATATAAAATTATATTTTTTGCAACACTGTTTTCAGGGCAAAAGAAAAACATTGGACACGTTTTTTTCTCTTACCTTTAACTAATTCTATAAACATCCTTCTATTCCCCAATAAGATCCTTTATACCAATTCCTTCTCCTTCTTATATCAAAGAGTTTAAGGTTTCAAAGTTTTCCTCTTATATTCCTCCATTCTCAAACCCTTTATTTTTCATTGTATGGCCATAAAGCTTTGTTAATCTTTTGATAATTAACTCTGTAAAATTTGTATTGAATTATTTTCTACCATTACCGGAGATATAGCTGTAACATTCAGTACAAATTCTGTAAGTCAATACCTGGGTTGTTAATATTTATATCATAATTACCAATTCTCAAGGATTAAGGGTGGTACATAATTGGCTTTTGTAGTATGTTAATATCTAATTTTCTTGGACCATACTACTGTAGATGATTTGCTTGATATTAACAGGGTTGCATACTTGTCACTATTTCTCTGTACTAACGACAAAGTCCTTAGACTATAAGCAACCACAAACCTCAGCACAAAATAAAACAAAACAAACAGAAGCAATATAAACATGATAAGAAAGGGCAATAAAATGCCTCCAAAAATTCCCAACTCCCCCAGAGCCAACTTGGGGTCATTGAGCGCAGAATAGCATAAGTCACACATCCAAATTACTCAAAAGGATAGCAGAGGAGTTTACAAAACAGCAAATAATGGAAATAACCAAAAAGATGGAGGCGTTTTCAGAAGACACTAACAAAGAGCTAAATGAGCTAAACAAAATGACACAAAACATGAATGACCAGTTTACCAAAGCACTGGAGTCCATAAAAATGTTTCCATCAGAAACCTAGGAAATTAAAAATCATATTGAAAGTATGGGTAACAGAACCAACCAATGTGAGGACAGAATTTCAGAACTAGAAGACAACAATGCCTTCAAAGACCAACTACTCAAAGATACCTTAAAAACATGAGAACAGGGTGGGGGGGGTCAAACAACTGCTAGATGATGGCAAAAAAGACTACGAATAATTGGAATAAGTGAACAATTAGAAGACAATAGTAACAGCAGAAAAAAACTGTTCACAGAAATAATGACAAAAAACTTCCCAAGAATAGAGGAAGAAACAAACATACAGATAGCTGAGGCATAGAGAGCCCCAAATAGCCACGACCAAAAGAGAACCTTTCCACACCACATTATCCTCAAAGTACCAGAAGTCCATCACAGGGACAGAAATCTTTTTTTTTTTAATTGGAAAAATTGTATTTTGGAAGAATTCACTACATAAGGTAACAGAATTCCAAAATCAAATTACATGAAAATATACATCAGGACAAAAATCTTAAAAGCTGTTAGAGAAGGACAATCAATCACATACAAAGATAAAGGCATTAGAACTACGCAGACAAACTTTAAAGGCCAGGAACACTTGGAGATAAGTGGTTCAAGTCCTAAAAGATGACAGCTTCTAAGCCTGACTTATGTATTCTGCAAACTTTCCTTTAAAATTGATGGAGAAATAAGATATTTCCAGGATAAGGAGCACCTCAAAAAATTAATGACCATCAAACCAGAATTACAAAAAATTCTCAAGAATATCTTAAAAAGAAGCAATGAAGACGACAATGACAATAAGTCAAAAAGAATCAATACACCTACTGGGATGTGCAGCTAAGCAAAGGGGGAAACAATAAGGAAATCATCAAGAGGAAAACAACGCCATGACAGAAATAAGTCAATGCCTCTCAGTAATAACTTTTGATGTGAATAGTCTCAATTCTCAAATCAAAAGAGACAGATTTGGCAGAATGGATCAAGAAATAAAACTCAAGCGTATACAAGACACATATTTAATTCAAAAAGAAACTCACAGATTAAAAATCAAAGGATGGAAAACAATATTCCATGCAATGGGAACCTAGAAAAAAATCAAAAATTGCTATCCTAATTTCAGACAAAGTGGATTTCAAACCAAGACTGACCACAAGAGACAAAGAAGGTCACTACATATTGGTTAGGGGGAAAAATTCAACAGAAAGAGTTAATAATTATAAACATATATGTACCAAATATCAGCACCCAACCTTATAATACAAACACAATGGACATGAAAAATCAGATAAACACCAATGCAACTATAATAGGGGAACCTCAATATCCCACCATCACAAGTGGACAGATCAAGTAGATTAAAAAATCAACAAAGAAATATGAATTGAACCAAACTTTCAAACAAATGGACCTAATAGATATCTATAGTGTTCCATCCAACAACAGAATACACATTCTTCACAGCAGTACATGAGCCTGTCTCCAAATAGACCACATCCAACCCCATAAGGAGACAGGCAAATGCAAAAGAAACAGAATTATCTCAAGCATATTATTGGATCATAGCACAATGAAACTAGAAATCAATGGCAAAAGACACCACAAAAACTTTGCAAACAAATGGAAATTAAATAATACCCTTTTTAATAGTCACAGATAAAATTTAAAAAGAAATTAAAGGGCCAGGAATTTAGCTCAGTGGCACAGTGCCTCCCTCGAAAGTGCAAGGTCCTGAGTTCAATTCCCAGTACTGGGGGAAAAAAAAGAAAGAAAAAGAAATTAGTTTCCACAATCAAACAATGATGCCAGTGTAACATAGTGGAAGATATAAAAGTTCTGAGTGATCTAATCAGTCAGTGACATTGAAGTAATAAATAAACTGCCTACTAAGAAAAGCTTGGGTCTCAGTGGATTCACTGTCAAAGTATACTAGAAATTTTGAGAAGATCCAATGCCAATATTCCTCAAGTTATATAATGAAATCAAAAGGTGAGCAATACTCCCAAAGTCATCCCTGGAAGCAAGCATCATTCTGATTCCAAAGCCAGAAAAGACTCAAAAAAAAAAAAACCTACAGCCTAATCACTTTAATGAACATAGATGCTAAAAATCCCCATTAAGATATGAGCAAGCAGAGTGCAGCAAATAATTAAAAGATACATCATGACCAAGTAGGATTTATCCCATGGGTATAGGAATAGCTCAACATATACAAATTAATAAATGTAATACCGCACATAAACAGAAGCA